GGGAAAAATAAAGGACTTGGAAATTTCTTTGGGAGGAACATTTTTACAAGAATTCACATCAGCTGATGCTCTATTTTGCTTTCCTTTTTGTTGTGGGTTTGGTCCTGTTGCTCTTTTTTGCTAATTTCTCCAAGACGTATTTCTTATTATTATCAGATAAGGCCAACAACGAAATCTTGACAAAGCCTATGAGAAAAAGCTTATTTCAGTGAAGATTGTGGTGGTAGCGGTGAGGGCCCTTGTCCGAACAAGAAAGGAAATTATGCAATGCATAGTGCTATATGTTGGGATGTGTAGGGTTTTCAATCAAAACTGCTCAGTTTCATTAATATATTCACACACCTCAAACCAAATTTTTCTCCTGGTCCTTTTTTTTTTCCTTGCCTTCTTTTACACCGCTTACTGCCATAGCACCCTGATGTTGAAGTTAAAATGAGGGGACTCTGAAGGCCTTCCAAAGAGAGGGAGTAGAAAAGGATAAAGGAAAGAAGAACAGAGGAGGATAATAAAAAAAGAGTAAGGAGAGAGAAAAGTGCAGTCTTTCCAATCACCCACATGGAAGAAAGAAGGAAACCAGACTTAATAATAGGAGGCTCATTAGTATAGCATACTTTGTTTAAGGCATTTGGACACCATAGTGAGGAGTACAACCTCAAAGCATAGTCATCAGTGGTCAGCTTTTTTCTTTCATTGTTGCTTCATTCACTTCTAGTGATCTATACCTTTAATGTATAGGTAAGATAGAAAATCATCTAATTTAATAGATCAGAACAACGTTATTATGATTAGATAGACTGTTTCACAAACTTAATTCTATTCACATTTGGCTTTATGCTCTGGGTGTTTCTGGGAAGTATATTAAGGCTACCTAAAGCAAATAGAAATATTTCAATTGACAAAAGAATTACAAAAGGAGGATTCTAGGTGGCAAAAGTGTTAAAAGTTTGTTACAAATTGATAATGCCAGAATATATAAAAGTTTTCAATGGAAACTTATGATGAATTATTCTTTAGACTGTTATGAAACTGTGGAAATTGTATTTCTGTCGCTGGTATGAAAACATTCATTTATGTCAACCAAAATGTTATTTTTTTCCTTCATCCCTCTTACCTGATCTAGATTTATATTTTTGAAAATAACATCTACTATCAACCTGATGTAAAGAGTAGCTCATTGCGACTGACATCCTCAGGAAAAGAAGGAATTATTTTTAATGGAATTGCAGACTGGTTATATGAAGGTAAGCTGGACAAATATAGATGTTTATTAGTACAGAAAAGAGATTCTTGTACAAAACCTGCAGGAGAAATCTGTTCATTCCAGACAATGCTATCTGAGGTTAGTTTCCTCTCTTTTTTAATCTCTCTCTTATTTTCTTTGAAAATTGCCTTCATATCTTTGCATGTGCTCATACTTTATATTGACTGTTGATTTGCATCTAATTATATTTTTTAAAGTCAAGGTAGTTATTTGCCACCCAGAGGGTGCATCTACATAAGATGCTTTATCCTGAAGTAGTGTAGTTTACTGCATATAAAGCATGTGCATCTACACATGCACATGCTTACTGTGCAGTAAACCTCGCTAATCACAAGTACATTTTCTACCTGCAAATACAAGTAACAAATTTACTTGTGTTTACTAACTGTGCAGTAGTGCTTATATAGATGCCTGACCGAGAGCACATCTGTTCCCAGCCAGCCGGCCCCCAGGAGGTGGGAGATTGCTCCCTGTCCCCAGGAGCTGCCTGCTGCTGGGGCAGGCTCTGCCACTGTAGCCCAGGCAGGAACTATGTCCCCCTGCCCATCTGCTTCAAGATCATGATTGGGGAGCAACAGAGCAGGGAGATTCTTATCTCCCAGCACCAGCTGTACAGTTGCAGAGCTGGGTACTGGGAGATAAGGAACTCACAGTGCCAGCCCCATGATTGCAGAGCTGATGTTGGGAGCTCCCTGCTGGCAGGGGCTGGGGAGCCTGTTCCCCACCCAGCTCTGTGATCATGGATCTGAGCAGGGAACAGGCTTTCCAGCCCCCACCCCTGGATCATGGAGTGGGGGCTGGGAAGTTTCTCAGTCAGGGGCAGGTACCAGCCCCCTGCCCCACCAGCAGATAAGGGCAGGAGGCTTGGACCTGCCTCTCCCCTGCAGCTCTTTCTAAGTCCCCTGCCCCAATCAGGGTGCCAGGGCTGGGAGCTCCCTGCTGTCTGGGCAGGTAGATATTGTCCCCCCAGGGGCAGGGAGCAATGTCTCAGCTCTGGCTAGGAGACAACTGTTTCCTGTCCCAGTGCTTCCTGCCAGCCTCTGGTTAGCACCCAAGGGAGTCTAGAGTTCCTGATGATGGTGACAGAGGCCCATTGGAGGGCACCAAGAAGCAAGAATAAGTTTACTGACATTAGCAGCAAATCTGATCCTGCTTCCCTACATGTGTAGATGCCTACCCAGGAGCATTTACTCATGAGTAGTTTACTCATGAGTAAACTGCTCCTGGATCTAATACATGTGTAGACACATCCAGATTGAATGTATGTTGTTATGAGCATCAGGTTATATGTAAAAAACAATAAGCAAAATCCTGGTTCATTGAAATCTGTGGGAATTTTGCCCATTAGAGTCTGTGGGGCCAGGATTTTGATGAACCTTATTAGTTGAAATATGTATATTCCATGTATTTTGGTACCTTTACTGTATGAAAGCATAATCCAGCAGCTCCCTCACTAAAATAGTTCCAAAACTAAATTGCCAACAATGTTTTATCCTTCAGGAAGCTTGTTTGCTTGTTTCATGCATTCTAAGGCCTAGAGCATCATCATTCGTGTCATATAATGTTGCTTCAGATGCAGTATTAGTATTCTGTGATAGCATGATACAGGCACGTACAGCAAAAATTCATTTATAGGTTCTTCATTTAAAACTGGATACAAAAACAAAAAGGTCCCAAATTATCTTATATATGGTGAAACTGTGACAGGGTCACCCAATCCCTTTTACATCCAGAGTTAGATCCACAGTATAGAGTTGCTCTGTTGCAGATAGGAGTTGGAGGCCAGCTACAGGGAAGAAAGCTGTAAGCAGTGGATTGGGCAAGTTAGCCTGCACAGCTTTTCACTCTCCCTCCCTGCTTCTGTATACTGTCTGCAGCAAACTGACAGGCAAGCAGGCCAGGGTTGTGGGGGCTGATAACTATGTTTATCACCCTTATCTCAGTGTTTATCACCCATTAAGATTGCTGAATCAACAGGTAGAATCAACATGGACCCAGCATGTGGTCTGTTAGCTAATACACAGACACCTCTTCAGCAAGGCAGTGGGGGAAGCAAACAGCTCTTACACAGCGTTTCCAAGGAAGGACATTAAGCGACCTGTTAATTAGCTCCAAAAAGCCTGTCACCTGTCTGCCTCAGTCCTCTCCCAGAGCACAGAGTGTAGCCAGCATATGGTGTGCTAGCTAGTGCTGAGGTGTCTGTGAGGGATGGGGGAATGCTTGCTTTGCACAGAGTGGGGAGGGGAGGAGATGGGGGAGACCAGAAGCCAGGCAGATGTCTGCAGAGACTGCTGGAGCTGCAGCGAGGGAGCAGAGGGGAGGGGCCAGCCCTGCTTTGGAGCAGGGAGCTCCACCCAGCCCAGAGAGCATGCCGGGATGCTGGGAGTGTCTGGTTTATCTTAAATCAGCAAGGAGTCTGGGACAGACATTGCACAAACAGGTTGGAGCCAAATCAGTTAAATCTGATACTACATTCAACCAGATTTATTACAAACTGTTTTCAGCCATTTTCAAACTGGTTTATGTGCCCTGAACATCTGTTCTGTTACAGGCTTAAACCAGTTTCTGATCACTTAAACTGGTTTATGTGTAATGTCTGTCCATAGCGAGAGAGACAGGATCAGTGAGGCCACAAGGTGCCACCACAGCTGCCAATTAGAGTTGGGTCCCATTACAGAAACCCTTGTCAATTTTGTTGTTTGTACAGGCAGACCTTGATCTTCAAAATGTCCGGTGTAAATCCAGAATAAATCAATTGAAGTAATGTAAATCTAGACTTTTCATCAGGATTATCAGCATGGACAGAATTGAGCTCAATGTTTCGGTGAAAAATAATACGGATATAAAAGTCAGAACATGAACATCCATGTTGTACCAGATATATATGTTAGTGCAACTCAGAGGAGAAATCAGCTGTAAAGCACAGATTCAGGAAAGTGCTGAAATTGTGTTCAACTTCAAGTACATGCTTAGACCAGTTTAGTGTTTTGCAGAGCCTACCAGAACACCACTTATTCAATCAACAGTATACGCCCCTTTCCCTTAACATCAACCCAGGATAGACTTCAAAGAAATTGTTGCAGAGAACAAACCATTCCCATTAAATAATATGCCACGCTGCTGTGAAACAAAACTGCCTGACTTCCTGTGGTGTCTGTATCCTTCAACAGCTTCTTAAAATGTGAAGCTTCCCCCTGTACCCTAAACATGTTTATCTCAAACATGTTCAGATCCCTATGTTCAGTTTCTTAGTGCACAAAAAGATTTTGACATTAATATAGAATATTTTGGTTCTGCCTCCTATTGCTTTAATCTTTTTATCCTGTAAATATCCTACTACATAGCGATTCGTTTAAAAAACAATCAAATATATTAAATATCACATATTTCTTATGGATAATTAAATAATGGGTAAGGAGGGTACCAGTGACAATGGGTCAAGACAAGGAATATAAAAAGTGCTTGTGAGAGTTAAGTGTCCAGCTCTCATTGAATGTCAGTGGGGTTTGAGTTTGAGCACATTGGGCTTCTTTGAAAAATCCACTCTAAATGAAGTCTCTGAATTTAGAATAGTCATTTGCATTCCCTATCTGTTTAAACACCTTTACTTAAATGATTACCTAACTCCAAGGTTTTAGTATTTCCATTAATATTTTTAAGCATTTAATGGGTCAGTAAAGTTCAAAACTAAGAGAAAAGGCACCTTTAGCATGGAAGAACATTTGAAATGCACCTCAGAACCTGCAAATCTAATGTGATTGCATATAAATTGGTGTCTTTAAGCATATTAAGTTAATTAAATCTGACATGGCAGATCAACTTTCTGCTAAAACAAAGTTAAGTTTGCATGGGTCACATTCATAGTTATTAAACACCTCGCTAGGCAGCTTAAAGCCAAATTATACTAACCTTCTGGTGGCACGTAGGCAAGTGATACACTTCTCTGCAATTTGCCCTAACTAGGTAGGGGACAGCATGGGACTGTCTTGTGCCAAATATCATTCTGAACATCTCTAATCTCCTGTACACAGGGACCACTGCTGCATCTCTTTACTGAGAGCAGTATATGTCCTCCTTCCCTCCACCAGCACAGCTGACCAGTAGTTTGGCAGGCTGAGTTATACTTCTACGAGGTCTCCACTCCTTTGTAGATAGGGTATATTTTGTGCACTTATTTGATTCATATGGGACTCTACATAGCATTTAAGCAGACTCTAACCTAAAAGAAGTCCTAGTGAAATCACTGGGGCTGTATAAAGTGCCTCTTAGGCATGTTTAGTATTTAGGCAAGTAGACTTTGCAGTAGTCCGTAAGTTTATTCATTAGAATAAGATCGACTCACTGAGGAGAATGAGGGAAAGATGGTCAGTTTTCAGGAGGAACATCATTGTGCAAGCTACAATGCACTTTTGTTGCATTTTGGCAAATGCTTCAAGATCTCTTTCCTTTAGCTCTGGCATGTCACGTTACTAATAAATCACTCAGCAAAAATAAGGGTCACAAAACTAGCCTTTCATTTGATATCCAGGCAGTTCACTTCAGTCCAGGATCATTTTCAGTGCCTCCTTATTATGGCAACAGATGCATTAGAAGGCCACATAGAAACTGTGTAAAACTTAAATGGATATTCTGCTATCTATTTTGCATAATATCTATTTTTATGCATTCTCAAGAATACATTTTTTTTGGCAGAGGAACTACTTCACTCTCACATTGCCCACTGGTGGTCGCCAGATGGAGAACGGTTGGCATTCTTGATGATAAATGACTCCTTTGTACCAAATATGGTTATTCCTCGCTTTACTGGAGGACTGTATCCCAAAGGAAAGCAATATCCATATCCTAAGGTAAGTAAAGCCTAAGTACAATCTCCAGCCCTTGCACATGGTTCAGTGAACCGACTGATAGTATTCAGCGTTACTGAAGAGTGTTTTAAATAGTAACAGAAGCTGTTTTCATTGATATAGCTTTACAGAGAATGGTGTTCTGAACGGTGCTATTTCAAATAAGGCTGTAAAGCTTTTTAAAGGATAGAACCCACTAGGTCAGAGTGGAATGAGCAGCCTGATGCATGCTAATTTCATGATTGCCATCTGGTGTGCTAAAGTCAGTCCACAGCTTTCCAGCAAAGAATGGAAGTGATCAGAGGGATTAAAAAAATAAAAATATAAAAATGGAATAAAAAAATGCTGCCATAAGTGTCTTGGCAGCTGGGAGATAAGGATCTCACAAAGTGCACAAAGTGCTACAGGCATTAGTGGGTGTGTCTAAATGTGCATTTAAGCATGGCTATATTTTATTAGCATTAAGTGATATTTGTTAGGTGTCTATACGTGCCGGAACTTGGGACTAAACTTAGTGAACTTGGAACTAACATTGGTGCTAAGTCCTTGCAGCCTGCCATGTGCCCCTAGTGGCTGGGCAGACCCAAAACTAAAGTTTGGGTCAAGTCTACACATGCGTTAAAGCGCTTTAACTAATTGTGCTTAAATTTGATACCTCCATTTGCAAGTATCAAATTTAGGTGTGATTAGCCTAATTTCATCATTTTTAAGACTCATTAAGGGTGCACATGTGTAGACATGTGCCCATAATGCACATTAAATTAAGCTAATGCACACTAATGCATCTCATGTAGATGCGCCCGGTGAGTTTTTAAGTGCAGCTGTATAGACCACTTTAACATAACAGGTTCCTAGCGAATAAAAGGTTTCATAGTATTTCAGTACTCCTTTTCATCATATAACATTAATATTAATCAGGGTGAGTGACTAATGTCAGAGAAAATAAACAGTAAAGCAAACATGCTTCTAGCCTTCATACTGAAGTGAACTCAGCTTTCACTGAAGTATAAGAAAGCTTTGGATTGGAGACTCTCGTCTTTGTGTTGGGAAAGTTATAAAGGTTATCTCTCATCTCCCCCATCCCCCCCTCCCCAAATTAGAGTCTTTATAAGGATTCTGGAGTTTTCCTTGTAAATCTCCACTGATCCTTGCCTCTATGAACCTGTCAATGTCTGGCTTTACTCATGTGTTTAAGTTACTACATCTGTAGTAGCCTTTCCTCCAAGCTTCTACTGTATGACTGTATCTCTATCTTGCATGCATTACTCAGGTTCAAACTATAAACTGACTAAGAAAAGGATTCCTTGTGACATTATGACTCTCATCCTTCTTTCCCACAGACAGGTTTTAAACCCATGTAAACCCATACAATTCAATATAGTTACACCAAATTTGTACTGATGAATAGCGCATTAGGCTCACATATACAAAAATGGCCTATTTTTGTACTCTGGAATGAATGTAATGTGAATAACACGCACATACATACATACATATTATATATATAAAAGAAATGCAAAACTCTAGAACTCTTGGTTCAGAGATGATACCTTTTATTAGATCAACTAAGAAATTGCAAAAAAAATACATCCCTCACATGCGCGCGCGCACACACACACACGTGTGTGTGTGTATCATGATGAGAGGAGGGTTGGTGGCATATTTAAAGAACATGCAGTACTTGCTGAAGCATCACAAATAGTTAAAATATGTAGCAGCCAAGGCTACTCGTGATACACATTTAATTTGATTCTTAAAATCTTAAATAAGTGAACAGTGTTTCAGGGTATAAAATAAAGAGCTGGGATTTAATTTTCAATAGTTCTTAAGTCCTGTTTTCAGACGGAGAGCAGGATACTTAGAGGTACTTGGGGGTTGAATACCATTGACAGTCAGTGGGACTTAGGATCCTACATCATGTTGGTGCTCTTGAAAATTTTACATTTGTCCCACTGCCACTGGAACCAATTGGAGTAGAATCAGTCATCTTCTGCAGGAGAAGGCTCAGATCATGCAACTTGGTATGAACTTTTTCTAGGAAACAGAATCCAAGGAGGCAGGTTTTCAGCTACATGGGGCAAAAGAAAATTGAGCAACAGGGCAAAGAAACTTCCAAGGAACTTAATAAAAAATCCACTTTGCAAACAAGAAATGAGAAATCCCATGCCATTAGCAATTCAGCACAAAAGTGATGACAATACTATTTCAGTAACCTTGTTAATGAAAAACATTATCTTTATTTAATGCCTCCATTTAATGACAATTAAGCTTCCAGTTAAACATCATTAATTATTAATGATGCTTGTGGTTTGGCTACATAACCAAGTAAAGCCTGGTGTTTATTAAAGCATTTTGTTGTACATCATAGTTCTCCCCCAAAATGAGTAAAAATAAAACTGCACATGGGCTTGGGCATGCACGCACATGCACTTACATTCACTGGATACAAATCAACTTCAAAAAGTGGCTTGGGAAAAATGAAAGCTTAAAAATGGTAAACATACTAGGAACACTACTGAGCAACATTGCAGCTCACTTCATCTTACCGTGTTATACACATTTATGCTACTTATTTGTGGGTGACACACAGCCTGGCATTGGAAGTTACAATAGGTGTTCCTACACTCATTGCAACCAATTAATGGATAATCTCGGATTAACACGGAAGAGCACCCAAAATGTTGCACCTTATGGAAGCACAAGTAGTATCCCTCACTCCCTACCTCTGTGCTTCCCTACCCAGTGGTAGATTAAGATTTATTGAGACCCTGAGAAAACAGAAAATTGCAGGCCCCCCACCAGGCAAGGGCAGGTTCCCTCTGTGCCTGCCAGGGGGCTGCGGCTGTGTCTTCCTGCCCTTCTCAGCACATCTGGGGCAAGCCAGGCAGGGGGCATGAGTGCCACTGAGGTGAAGGCAGCCCTGGCCCCAGCTCTCTCCCCCACCCCGCCACCCAGTAGATGTCATGCAGCCAGAGCTGTGGTCCTTCAGTGCCATGGGATGGGCCAGGGCTGAAGCTGGCTGGGGGTGGGAGCACAAGCTTACCCCCGCTACCCTCCCACCCCTCTGCCAGCCTGGGTTTTGTGGGGTGGGGCAAGATGGGGCTGTCCCATCCTGTCCCAGTGGTGCTGGTACCAGTGGCCACCAGATGACAGGGAGTGGGAGCAGGGCCACCCCTGGGGCTTCCTGGCATCAGATGGCCACAGGAAGCTGCTGCCACCTGCAGGGAGCCCCACACCCACCCCAACCTCTGGCCCTGGCCCAGCCAGGGGGGAGGAAGTGTAGGCTGCCCACCCTGAAAGCTCATGGCCAGGATGCCATGTGGGCTGTGCTAGCCCTGGTGCCCCAGGAGGCCCCTGATTGACAGGGACCCTGGGCCTGGGTCCCGCAGGCCCATGCATGAATCCACCCCTGTCCCTACATCATCTGGCAGAAAGGTAGATGTTATGTAAGTTCATTTCTAAAAGGAAGCTAGGACTACATGGTCATCAGTCTCCCATGGAATCCTGATCCTGACTATCTTCAGCCATGGAACCTAGGAGGAGGCAAGGGACGTTTGGTGCGTGCACTCTTCCCACCTTGAGTACCTCCAAGTTTAATCACAAATTTGCCCATAATGATAGTATAATGCTATAGAAACATAAAAGCATATTGAAATTTTAGAATTATAATATTATTTTTACCATAAATTTTCATAAGGATAGTGAATGACGGCTACTGTTTCCAGTGCTGAAGCTATGATTTACTAATTTAACAGTTCCCCCTGCAATGCTTACACCCAGAAAACAGTAGCTGCTCATGACAACAATCCCATGTTGTTGAATGCGACAACTCAAAGGCCTAATCCCTATTGTGGGGTAGGGGGTGAGAGTTATATATATAAGTTGCATGCAGGAAATTAAATGAGTGTTTTATTTTTCAATGTGGATGATCTAAACGAGTGGCAGGAACTCCTTCTGAACCTTTTTTGAATTAAAAATGAAATTAATAGAATTTTTTATACAATTGTCACACCTGTTTATTTCCCACGTGAGTCAGAAGCTGAAGTATGGAAAGGCCATTCTTGCAGCATTTATGGAAGCAGGAGGAACTTGTATAAAAAATATGCATAATCTTACATGAAACGCTCCCACCCTAAGAACTGATCCTTAAACACTTGAGTCCCTTCACACACACGTACCAATTGTTTGTAGTCAGTGGAGCCTATCCATGTTCATGTGTGTTGTAAATATCAGGCCCTAATCTTCTAGAAATTCAGCTGAACTGGTCCTCTAATCTTTGTAACCTATCCCTGATACAAATATGCAGGCATCGCTTTCTCCTGTTCTACATCAGTGGTTGATACCCTTTTATGTTATTAGAGAATGCAATTTCCAAAGAGAATTTCTGTGGATATTCCAGTCAGGCAGCTTTTAAATACCAGACATCACTTCTAAATTTCCTTAAAATGAGTGAAACATACACATTAGCACTATTAGTGCTTTAAAAGCTTTGTTTCAATAATTTCCTGCTGAACCCCAAATGGTTTTGACTTTCTTTTATGAAAAGAAAAAGATGTGGCAGCACATCTTGGACTGTTTTCTGCTTTTCCAGGACTCCATAGGAAACTTTCAGTGAATCCTGTGACTTACACTGTAAAGAGAAGTTCACCAAGATAGGACAGGCAGGCAGGGGAGCTGGCAGCATCTTCCCACCATCCCTTCAGTACCCTGAGTTAGTATTTTATCTCTGCCTTTGCCTGGGTTCTCCTGCATCTTGTTGCAGCAAGAGGAATTTCCTCCACACTGGGACCAAGGTTGACCTGTGCCTCGTGGAGGCATGATCACCATGGGTCCTGGTGATGGGATCAGGAGAGACCTGGGAATTTCCAGGTCCTACACTGCCCCTTGCCTTCTCATCAGGACCCACATTGACCTGTGCTTCACATAGAGTCATGAGTTAGCACGAATCCTGGCATGGAGCAGTACAGAAACACAGGAGTCAGGTAGTCCCTGGTGTCCTGTGC